TTTGTGAGTTCAAGGCCAGCCTGGTCTACATAGTGAGTTCAGGTCAGCTGGGGCTACAGGGAGACCTTGCTTCAAAAAGACAAAAAAAATATTTTTATGTGTATGAGTGTATTGCCTGCATGTATGTGAGTGCATCAGTGTCATGCAATGCCTTGGAGGTCAGAAGAGGGCTTTGGATTCCCCTGGAACTGGAGTTAAGGATGATTCGTAGCCGCCATGTGGGTGATGGGAATCAAACCCAGGTCCTCTGCAAGAGCAGTCAGTGCTCTTAATCACTGAGCCATCTCTCCAGCCCCCTTTTTTGGAATTTTTATCGTGAAGGAATATTGAACTTGTTAAATGCCTTTTCTGCACCTATTGATACGATCAGGTGATTTCTGTCCTTTATTTACAGGTTGTATTACATTCATTGATCTGTGTATATTAATTGCATCCCTAAGACAAAACCAACTAGATCATGACATATGGTCTTTAAAAAAAAAATTTTTTTTTTTTGTTTTTGGTCTTTTTGAGACAAGTCTCCTTGTAGCCCCAGCTGTAGACCAGACTGGGCTTGAATTCACAGAGATCACCTGCCTCTGCCTCCCATGTGGTAAGATTAAAGGCATGTACCACCACGCCTGGCCTCTTTTAAAATTTTTTATTATTATCATCAGTGTGTCGGGGGTTGGGGGTGGGGTGGGAGAAGAGAGTTTAGGGCATGCCACAGTGTGTGTGTGGAAGTCAGAGGCCAACTTTGGGGCGTTGGTTCTTTCCTTCCATTATAGAATCCTGGGATCACATTCGGGTTGTTGAGCTTTTGAAGTTTACACAGTGAACCATCTTGTTGACCCACATCTTCTTGGTATGTTCTTGAATTCAGTTTTGACATATTTCATTAAGAATTTTTGCATCTATGTTCAACAAGGGAAATTCGTTTGTAGTTTTGTCAGTGTCCTTTTCTGCATCTGGCCTCAGGTAACACTGGCTCCACACAATGTGTCTGACAGTACTCTTTCTCTATTTTTAGGACAGTCTGAGGAGTAAGAGTCTTCCTTAAAGTGTTGGCAGAATTCAACAGTGAACCCATCTGGCTCTGGCTTTTCTCGGTGAGGAGCCTTCTTCACGCCTTCAACCTAGTTGCCTGCTATGGATCTGCTTGTTCTACCTTCTTGAGTAGGTCTACCAGGCAGTGGTCTCTACATGAACAGAAATCTTTTAGAGTAGAGGACTCCTGCAAGTTGTCTTCTGACCTCCCTACGAGCAAGGTGGCATGCATGTGCCCACAGACACAAATAAATGTAATTTGAAAACATTGTTAGAGGAAACTGGAGTGTGACATTAGTGAAGGCAGCAGCAACGGGGAGGCACACCGGCAAGGAGGGAAGGCAGGCCACACAGCTTTGTCCTGCCTGTCTTCATGCCTGGCAGCCTATGGGGAGGTGCCTTCACTCAGGATGTAGCTCCTCCCTCAGTGGAGACGTTCTGGAAACGCCCTCTCAGACCCCCCCAAGAGGTGTGTCTCTTAGTTGATTCCAAATCCCATCAAGATGACAGTCAAGATTACCTATCATAGTAGGTCACATGTCTTTAGGAATGTATCCATTTCTTCTATATTTTTCAACTTTTTGGAACAGGATTTTATCACCACTAACTTGTTTTTTTGTTTATCCTGTGAGCCTGATCCTAGAGTATCATGAAAGCTAGGTAGGCACCCTACCCAAGCCACACCCCAACCCCAAACTCAATTTTGATTAGGCAAGTGTCTGGATATTTACTGAAGATGAAAAGGACCTAGTTCATCAACCATATGGAACACTTGACTCTCAGGATTAAACAAATTGAAAGAGATTTTTAAGACCATCTTTCATTTATTCTTTAATAATTTCATTTAAAGATAGATTTCAACAGGGAAAAAGCATGCCTGACTTAACTTTTAGAAAACTGTTTTGTAAAATGAGGAACAAAACCCTCACTAAATCTAAGGAAGGTAGATGAAATCTGCCTGCATTCTCTGAGTTATACCCAGAGTGAAGTTCTAGTAAGAGCTGCAATCTATCCAATAATCTACAAATCATCCACAGCACCTCTACCTGCATAAATCTTTTAAATTTGCATTAGAAAAGCATCAATTACCTTATGCTACAATGTGGAATTAAGAAGTAAATGTATTGTTTCACTTAATCTTACAAGATACTGTATTACTGCATGAAGAGTGAGTTTTAACTAAGTCACATTTCAAGTCTACTACAACCTAAGCTGTGTCCCTCACACAGTAACAACCTAGGGTTTGTACAGCAAGTTGAACATTACACTCTGAAGTTAAAGGTGAAAATCACCAATTGTGAAAAGGTGCTAGAAACAGCTTGGAAAGAACGAGTTTCACACAGAAAGAGCAAAATTTGAAGACCTGGCAAGCTATTAGGAACTCAGAGACTGATGTTTCTCTCAATGAAGAAAAAGACTAATTTGTTAAATGAACCTAACCCCAACCCTACACGGCTAGTGCTAAGTTCCTGGTAACTTAGTGATTGAAAATAAGAGAAAATTAGTAAAGGAAAATTCCAGAGAACATGGAGAATCTTGCCAGATTTGAGAGTAAGGAATGAGATAAGGTGAACACAGGCAAGACTGCCTCTTTGCTGGGAGGCAGGAGGTGAGGCTGGAGACTGAGGTGGGACATGTAGGAAAGTAGCATGGTTTCAGTGATAAGGGTTTAGAAAAGCCACTGTGAGAGCAGGAACTGGAACTGATGAAGGCCCATCTGTGACTCTGGCATTAAAAAATCAGTGTTCAACAGTCGTTATGCATTTAACGTTAATTTAAAGCACATATGGAAGGGATGTTAGGTGGACGTGAAACCTGGGCCCTGACCATACCTCTGCCGTTGAACAAGTGGATGCCTCTACCAAGTTATCATCACGGAGAGTTCATACTCTTTGGACAAAACAGACACTGAAGAGCATCCACTAAAGCCCTATTTCATACTATACTCTGGTAATACATACTATACTCTGGTAATACATACTATACTCTGGTAATACATACTATACTCTGGTAATACATACTATACTCTGGTAATACATACTATACTCTGGTAATACATACTATACTCTGGTAATACATACTATACTCTGGTAATACATACTATACTCTGGTAATACATACTATACTCTGGTAATACATACTATACTCTGGTAATACATACTATACTCTGGTAATACATACTATACTCTGGTAATACATACTATACTCTGGTAATACATACTATACTCTGGTAATACATACTATACTCTGGCAATACATACTATACTCTCAGCACTCAGGAGGCTGAAGGAGGAGGACCCCGAGTACCAGGCCAGCCTAGGCTATACAGTGAGATCCTGTCTCAAAAACAAATCTTTTTGAAATACACCACTTGCAGTGGTTCGCATGTAGCTTGTTCCCCTAAAGATTCACGTGCTGGAAACCTGTTCTTCAGTGTGGTGCTGAAGTGGTAGATCTTTAAAAGGAGGGTCTAGTGTGAAATTCCCCAGGTCATGGTTTGCTGCCTGCTTCCTCTATAGAAGGAGAACAAGCCCAGCCCCACTCTGGCTTCCTCTCTGGAAGGAGAACAAGCCCACCCCCACTCTGGCTTCCTCTCTGGTCATACAGTTCCCTCTTGCACAGACTTCCACCATGATGCCATCCACCACACCTTCACAGCCATCAAGCAGATGGCTACACCATGCTCTTAAAAGCTCCTGAACTGTGAGAAACGCAAGCATTTTTTTTCTTTACAGTTACCCAGCCTAGCCTTAACTTGCAATCCTGTTCGTCTCCAGGCTATCACCGGACAGGTTTCAGTATACCTAAACGACTGCAGGCAGGTTTCATATTGACATCTACCTCCACTGAACTTGGCGACTTTCATTTAGGGTGGCTTCCGTCCCTCACCTGAGTGGTGGGATTACAAGCGTGGGCCGCCACCTCCAACTTATTTATGGTTTTAGTTTTGTAGTACTGGGAATTGAACTTAGGGCCTCATATGTGCTAAGCAAGTGCTTTACCACTGGGCTGTATCTCCAGCCCTTTTTGTATTTTTTGAGACAGGGTCTCACTAATTTCCCAGGTTGGATTTGAACTTGCTCTGTACCCAGACAGGCCTTGAACTTTGGACTCTCCTAACCTTCCAAGTATGTATTTTTGAAACAGGATCTGTGTTGCCCAGATTGGCTTTGAATGAACCTCCCTCCTGCCCTCCAGTAACTATGTTATCAGTTGGAAGTCATCTGAACCTGTAAGGTATTTGCTTAAATTTTCTCTGGATTATTAACCAAATACGTTAATGATATACAAAAAATTCTGTACACATCAAACAGAGTTTTTCTGCAGGGCGTGGTGGAACATTCCTTTAGTCTCAGCACTTGGGAGGCAGAAGCAGGTACACCTCCGTGAGTTTGAGGTCAGAGGCCAGTCTGGTCTACGTAGCCAGTTCCAGGCCAGCCAGAGCTACATAGTAAGGCCCTGTCTCAAAAAAAAAACAAAATCTGGGTCTGGAAAGACTGTTCAGCAGTTAACACTGGCTGCTCTTGCTGAGGACCGGGGTTCGATTCCTAGCATCTACACCTCCAGCAACTCCATTTCCAGGGGATCCCACGCCTTTTTGTGAACTCCGTGGGCACTGCACGACACGGGTGCACTCACATGCATGCGGGGAGAACACTCATACACATAAAATAGTATCTTCAATCGGCAGTTCGATGAATATGGACACTGGACCCCGCGCACAATGGGGTGCAACGCC